TATATATATATATATATATATATAGTAAATGCTCGACAAATATTGTACCTTAAAGCCTTCTAATGTATTACCTAAACACCCTATTAAGGTTAATTCAATGCAAGATAGGCTAAAGATATACACCAAATTAAGGTTACAGTTACCTAAAAATGAACAAGGAAGAGGCTCCATCTGAAGAAATTATGGGGAATGCATGTCTTGTTCCTCTCGACTGTAGCTTTTGCTTTGGGGCACATTGTAGTGGCCTATCATACAAGTTACAAAGCTAGGTAAAAACTCGTCCTTCAACGTGTTGATCCAGAGGCAGTGAGTTCGTGAAATTTCTTGCTTGTGTAAATGTTTTCTTGTTTCTTGTAGATATTAATTCTAAGAAAATTAGTTAGATTTAGGCAATGTATGGTAAAACTAGCTGATAAGCTAGCTAATAGATGATAAGCTAGCTTATAGCTTATATGTAATTTTTGAGCTTATAGCTTATGGCTGTGTTTGGTAAACCAATAAGCTAACTTATAGCTTATTTGATTAGCTTATAAGCTCTCTGTATTTAAATAAGCCCTGTTTGGTAGGACAAGCTTATTTAAAAAGCTCGAGCTTATTTGATAAGCTTGTTTAGGTAGCTTTTCAAATAAGCTAGCTGAATTTTTTATTTCAGCTAGCTTATCAGCTAATTTTACCAAACACTTTTATCATATAAGCTAGTTGTTCAAATAAGCTAGTTGAATTTTTTTTATTTCAGCTAGCTTATCAGCTAATTTTACCAAATACTTTTATCATATAAGCTAGCTTTTCAGCTATAAGTCATAAGCTACAAGCTATAAGCTCGAAAATTACTGATAAGCTATAATCTAGCTTATCAGCTATCAGCTAGCTTATCAGCTAGTTTTACCAAACATAACCTATAGCTTATGACTTATAGCTGAAATGCTAGCTTATATGATAAAAGATGTTTGGTAAATTAGCTGATAGCTACCTGATATAAAAAATTCAACTAGCTTATTTGAAAAGCTACCTAAAGTAGCTTATGAAATAAGCTCGAGCTTTTTAAAAATGCTCGTCCTACCAAACGAGGCTTATTTTAAACAGAGAGCTTATAAGCTAACCAAATAAGCTATAAGCTAGCTTATTTGGCTTACCAAACATACCCTTAACTAGAAGGTAATAAATGAAACTCAACCAATCTTAGATTAGAAAAGGTTAATTTAATGCAAGATAGACTGAATATAGCTGAGAATCAGAAGTTCGTAGTGTTCTTAAATAATCTTGAACTTGAGTCGAGCCGATGGGAACTTTGGATTATTATAAGATGTAGAATTGCTTATATTTTTGTAAAAGTCAAATAGAAGAATAGTCAAAACTCATTATGTCTCTTCCCTGTTATTAGATTACGATTAGATTTATGTATATTTACTAACACATGAATTATAATCAGACTCTTTCTTGCAAAATGGTATTCTGCAGTTACCAGAAGGCCCCACAATCACCGATTCTAGTGGTTGGGAAATTTTTCCGATGCGATAGTGAAACGAGGTGTAATAAAGCATCGAGGTTAATAATGCACGTCGAGCGGGAAGTTTCAGTTAGTTTACTTGCAGATAAAGACAACTTATTCATATTTTGTCAAGGATTTACTGTACATTACAAGCTAAGCCTCTCAGGATCTCCTTTTGACCAGCCGTCAGCTAGCATACCCCTAAAACCCCATAATAATAATATTCACAGGAGCATGAGTAATCAATTTCATTATAGCACCTCCACAATCTAAACACCGCTTTTGGCCAGCCTGCCATATACACCAACATTTGAACCTATTTTCAGCTCGAATAAAAATTGCATGGAGGATGAGGTGAGAAAAATGGGGCCTCAATCAATGGAAAGAGATTTGGAGGCTAATGAATAGTTTGGGATTGTTCTGGTCCATGGTTTTGGAGGGGTGTGTTCTCGTGGAGGAATTTGATGAGTGATTTGTCCATGCAAATGGGTTGTGTTGTGGCGGCTTCTGACAGGCCTGGATGGGGTTTGACATCAAGACTAAGGAAGAAGGATTGGGAAGAAAATGAATTGAATAATCCTTACATGATAGATAATCAGACGAGTTTTTCTATATAGCCATCCTAAAGAAGAATGGAGAATAATAATCGAAGCACCATTACGTATCTTCTTAATCTAAAGATCTGATATGGGGTATCTAAATCAGGTCTTCCTCTGAGAGAGAATATTCGATATAAAAGCCAACACACTTTTTTTCTTTCAGTTGGAAAATTTTCCAATATACACTGATATTTGACACGTCGGGCTCAAGGATAAATAATTAAGTGATGTCTTTTTATTTAAGTTTATGTTTTCATGATCGATTCCTTGGTTATATGCACGACACACATTTGTTGCAGTATAATATGACCATACTTTTTGGAAGGTCTATAGATTAAGTTTTCTGGATTATGCTATAAGATATGACCATATTGCAGTAAAATATGACCATACTGATTGTGAATTGACAAGGAGGTCTGGATGAGGTTTGTTATGTATGAACAATTTGTTTTCATTATTCAGGTGGACCTTATTATTTCGTTTTGCACTGAGATGGGCTTCTCTTCAGTTGTGCTTGTTGGGCATGATGATGGAGCATTGCTTTGCCTGAAGGCTGCGCAAAAGGTTTCAAGTGAGTCAACTTTTGGAGTGTACCAAATATTTTTCGCAGATATATAACAAACAGATCTTTGTCAGTTTTTCTAATCAAATTATCTTTTAAGAAAGGACGGAGGATTTAAGATTATGGTAAAGAAAATGCTATTCTAAATCAAAAGACTGTCTGTGAAATGACGGAGGATTTTAGATTTTATTTTAAACACCGATGAAGAAAGTTCGGATAACAGCAACACATTAGGGTCAGATGCCAAATGTGAAAAATATGCTTCATTGCATAAGTGAATGTTGATTTTAACTTAAAAGGGACACTTTCCTTTTGTCTTGGCTTGAGAAAAAAGGGGTTGTACTAATGAATGTAAGTTTATCACCAAAGTTATTTCCCGCTTTACAAGAACATTGTTGCGCTCGTCTCTCCTGAAAAAACGCACTTAGTGCGTCCTTTCCTTTGCATGGAAATTACTGAACTGGTAAATCGGCTTGCTTGGTATGATGAGACCAAACTAACCACCGAAGTCTTGAGCTTGTACAAGGTGCTTTTTGTCTTAATTTTGAAACATGCATTCCCTCGGCAAATCAATATTGTCGTTAAACAATTATCTAGTTATTTTGTTGTGGTTAAATATATAAGGCCCCATTACACGTCGAGGGTTGGGATGAGACGCTTTACGAAATGGGAAACCGATCATATGAAATGGGTCTAATCGCCTCAGGATGTTGCATTCATGCTGAAGGCTATTTTAAATTTTCCAGTTCAATATATGACTTTGAAACTTGTAAATTATGCGAAAAATCTTTTTTTTCACTCTCATTATTAGACATGAGTCTCTTTTGACTATCTTATATGTTGTCATTAAAAGCTCACTCACACCATCAAAGGTGTAACTACATAGTTAACCTAAATCTTCTCATGTTTTGTCCATTAATTTTCGTTGCTTGCAACTATTTCAACTTTCATAACAGGACTTTTGCTAAAATCAAAACTACAACACACAAATATGAAAACCACAAACAAAATACAACTTCTTCAGTACGTCTCTGTCGACTTTTGATCGGGTTTATCTTCATCTGTGATGTGCACATTCTCAATCTGCTGAGTAATAACCTCGGATAAACTGGTTCCGGAAGCTTCTTGCTCGGCATTGTTAGTTGGACCAGTCTGCCAATGGTCCCGTCTTCAAATCCCGTGGCATATGATTTGCCACCTCGTGAGAAACGATCGCAATGGACTGGACCATGATGACCCTTGTTGCAACCTACGAGCAACCAAAGAAATGAAAAAACAAAAATCAAAATACTAAAAATCCAAAGAAGCTGATTCCCCACCACAGGGCATTGAGCAACTCTTTAATGCATATGATATGCTAAACCAATCAAAAAATAAGATGGAGCATTCATCATATGGATAGACATACTAATTTGCGTCCCAGAAATTGAAAGTAGACCTCTCTCAAGTTGTTATATAGCGGCCATCTTGACTAACCTCAGCACTGGTTACAGCGGACTTGGTCTCACGCATCCGAACAATTGTGCCAGTTCTCACATCCCACAACCTAAACCCAAGTCATCAGTTCAATAAATTCAGATTCAACAGATAAGTAAAAAGGATGTAAGTAATGTCAACATCAGATGCCATCAGTACAAAGTGAGAAACATAAAATATATCAACCATATGACTGAACAGCCGGGGGAAATTGAAGTTATCTACAAAATGTTACAAATGATAAGCCTGCAAATAGTAACTATTCATGCCTAAATCATTGAAAAATTAATTGAAAGAAAAAATGTAAGAAGAATAGAGATGAAATTTCTCAGTGTCCACATACCTTACTCCACCCATGTCAGTACAGGAACCTAAAATTGTTTGATCACTGTGTAGCCAATCAACAGTTCTCACAGAACCAGGCCTTTCAATTTCCTTGGGAGGTGCGCATCTCGCCGATTAAAATCATATATGCGAAGAACTTTTTCCATTCCTCCAGTAAGCAGAACGTGGTATCCTGCCAATCCATTGAAGAAAAAAACAATCAACCATCATAACCAGTAAAACAGGTGATAAACATCAAAAGGAGAATCCTAATAAAGTTGAATAAGTCCAAAACTTGTTTAAGCACTTATTATTTTGGCCACTCTCATAAAGGAACGTTAATCTTCATTTCAAATCAGGAAGATAAAACACATTATCACCTCTGACATAGGCACCTTAAACAAACTTCACAAAGTAACAAAATATGTTGCAGAATATAAAAGATACAGGACAGTTCGTAAGGCACTTCAAATGAAAAGACATGTACGGGCAGGATAATTCACAAGTAATTTCCAGTAAATAATTATCCCACAGCATATTTCACAGCAGTAGAAAAAATTACCCAAGTTCGGAAATCTGTCCATATTTATTACTGTCCGGAAAAACCATAAAATATGTCTCCTCAAAACAGAAGGAAAGCGAAAAAGGAAACGTATCAAAACCTCGATAAATATTCTGTTGATAGAAATATAATGTTAACATCTATCACAAGTGATGGCATCGGTCATATTGTGCCTCTAAGAAGGCACAAGCACGAACTATGTGCTTGTGCTCAAATGAATGCAACTCGTCGCCAGTCAATGCATCCCATAATTTCCTGCAGCAGGTCAGTAGAATCAGGACACGAAGCTATTCAGTTATATTAATAAAATTCAAAAAAAGGGCTCTAGTATCCATTAGAGCAGACTCGTGTAGCTTTTAATATGAACTTTGAGTAACAACAAGAACAAGAAACCATATGCAGAGAAATCAGCAGACGCAGAGGCGGCACGCAGCGCGTTTTTATCCAAGCAACAAGACCGTACAGCACCTTTGTGTCCTTGAAAAGTCCCATCCAATCTCCAGTCTCTCCATTTCTCAACATTGTTGTTGAATCTAAAGGAGATGCAAACTCTTAGAGTTACTTAACCAACAAAACACTTTAACAAAATTCAATTCATAAGGCATTGCTGAGATCTCACCACATTTCAATATAAACCACATAGAGTACTTATTGAGAAATAGGAGATATAAAAAAAAAAACTACTTCACAGCAAGAAAAATCAAGATATAAACTGCAAAAGTCATAT